GACGTCGTATCCAGCGAGTATCAATTTAAACGGTGTTTATAAAGTCGTTATTTGTTGAGTCAGTCCCCGCAGTCACATCTCCCACCCGATCAGTTCAATTGACTACTATACCCTGGTATTCTCCTATTGCGAATGAGGTCGGCTACTCGGTTGGTTGCTTTTTAAGGGTAGTTTTGTAAAACCAGATGCGATGCGCTTGGTATTTTTTTTTTATCAAATGTTAAAAAATAACAATAAATTGCAGGTACAAAAAAGTTTGAGAATATTCAAAAACATATAAATTATATGAATTTTTAAATTATATTTCGAATTTTCTGAAATTACTTTAATTCTAAAAATTTCAAAATTAAAAAATGTGATATGATCCGGTTCGACTTCGAGATTATAGAACGAAAATTAAAAACGTTATTTTTAATACTATCGGTCCGAAATCACCCCTAATTTTATACATTTGTCATATCTTATTAACCTACTTGGTTTTGTTAATTCTCATTTATTTTGTGAGCACTTATTTTGTTTTATTGTTTTGGCTTATTTTTAGTTACGTCCCTTGCTTGATTGGTCCAAAAATCACCCCTGCTTGATTGGAGGTTCGTATGACATTTGAGTTTCGAGACTTAGTTGGTCTTGCATGTGATTTTTGGGCCTTGGATACCAAAATACAAACGTGCCAAATTCTTCTGAAACTAATCTCTACCACAAGTAAAAATAGAGTAATGCTAAGGAGACCAAGTTTTTTAAACCAAATTAGGTGTCACAAATAAGAAATAAGCACGTTAATCGACATTTAATTAATAATCCAATTATCTAAACCATATTATTTAGATCCTCTCCGGATCTCCTCACTGGGGATCCGAGGAATCAATTAATACCAACCGTTCATTAAAGATCTTGCGGCCACAATTAAATGCTTTTTATATTTTCAAAGGTAAAGCAACCTCATTTTCATGAAAAATATATATAAAAAAAAAAAATTGTGGCCACACGATCTTTGATGACGGATGTTATTAATTGATCATCGGGATCCCTAGTGACGGGACCCGGAGATGATCTAATTCCTAGTTTACAAATTTGGTTTAAAAAATTTGGTCTATCTAGCATTATTCCTAAAAATATCCAAAATTCTTCAAAACTTAAAATTTCCTCCACCTCTTACTCCAAAAAATTTCATTATGAGAACTAACAAATATGAGACAAAATCCAAACAAAACTCGAACATAATTGTAAAATACGAGCCAAAAGTGGAAATTAGCATTTTACCAAAGTCTTGAACATCAAACTCTACGTTATGACAAATGCAGAATGAACAAGTATTGCCTTAAAAGACAACCAAAAGGATTTTGTATACAAACTCTAAACTCCCAAAATTATTCCTCCCGTCGAGATCTTCAAATATCAAATTTCGCCGACGACACAAAAAAAAAAAACGCCATTTGTTTTTAGTTTACCACATGAAGATCAATTAAATTAGAAATTATTTAACCGCTTGATTAATGTCAAAATTTATGTGTTTAATTAAATAACATGATTCATCTATTTATTAATAATTGCTAAATAATTTTGAATTTAGTTGATTTTAAGCATAATTGATTTATAAATTGTGACTTAGAAAACAATTCAAATCATTATGCAACATTGCTATCAATTCATATAAGAAAAAATCAAAATAAAAAGACAAAAGCCAGTAGTTGCCACAAGATCCAAGAGCTTATCAAAGAGTACAAAAAAGGTGCCAGCTTTTCATGGTTTTGAACTCTGCTTTTGTAAGTGTCAGCCATGCATAGCTCAAGAAGGTGCAGACTGGGACACTCCAATCCCACGGCTTTGTGTGTATGGCACCAACTACTTCACTCTTCAGTCAGCTTATATATCATATTGTTTCCACATTTTTTTTTTAGAGATATTTCAGTGTAATCACAACATAAAATAATATAATAATGATCATGTAATGTATCATTTTATGTTCTGATCACGTTGAAAAATCTCTACACATTAGATCCACCACTGTCCCATTTCCAGTACCACTGCCTTATCACTAATAACATATAATAACCACCCTTTCAGCTTACCAAAACACCATAAATATTATTATTAATATTAAAATCACGTGCCCCATCACCTCATCAACATTGCCAATTACAAATACATCACCAATTCATCATCCCTTCACACCAAAATCTGCACGTGCATCGGTCAAAGTTTGAGCACATGATCCCACCGATATCAGATCCCAATTTAGATTTTTTTTTTCTCTTCTTACGCTCATTTTTAATCATATTGGTATTTTTGTATTGTTTATTTAATCTGATAGTCAGAAATAAAAAAGAATGCGTGAGAGTTCTCTTTTTTTTTTTTGTTTCAAAACAAAATTTGGTATAAATCAAACATTTATCATGCCATCTAACGATAAGCTTCTTCAGAGTACCCATCTTCACTCACTCTAAAAGCTATCAAAAATATGAAGCGGTGGTCTAGAATTCTGGCTGCTTTGGCCCTTGCAATTTCCATGATATTTTCAACATGGCCTAATATTGCAACAGCAGAAGCACGGCCGTTGGCTTCTGCTTCTGCAGCAGCATCAAAAGCAGCATTTTCAACTTTATCACAGGTTCTTAAAGATTTGGAGGCAGGCAAGAAGAACCCAAATAAGCAAATAGGCTCAAGCTTTAGAAGGATTCCTCCAAGCACTTCAAATCCCACCCAGAACAGGTAAAGTAAAACTACTTTCTACTGCTTTCAGCTTTTTAATCTCTCTCTCTCTCTCTCTCTCTCTCTCTCTCTCTCTCTCTCTCTCTCTGACCTCAATTGCCATGTTTTTGTTTGCCAGGTATAATCCACCATGAAATTGTTGAAAGAGGCTCATTCATTTTTAGACGACTTGTAATGCAAGTACAATTTTGCTACCTGAGGTTTTGTTACCTCTAATTTTGGCTGTAGATTTCTAGTCTTCTTTTAATGTATATATAGGATGAGATCTTTATATCTATTGATGCAAAAAGGGAGTATGTTTTCTCCTCAAACTTAATTAAGTTTGTATCAGGGGCATAGAGTAGACGATCTGGTCTAGGTTAGTACTAGCCTATGTGGTTAATCAAATCGATTATCTTGGCAATAATTTTAACGAGCGCGACTGCGTATACTCACCTGTCTTATTTTCTCACCACATTATATTGACTTGAGTTTTGTTTCCTATCTTTTAGTTATGAAGCCGGCGAAAAATATAACAGTTGGATCGGTATAGCAACATTCGTTTTTATTAATAATCCAAGCAAATTGGAGGAAATACACAGTAATGCTCAAGTTCATCCAAATCAGTATCAGACTACCAGTATAGTAAGCTTCTCATCAACTGTTCCATCTCCACGTTATCATGTTGTGGATAGAAAGAAACCACTACCTAGTGACTCACTAACAACACTGTTATCACGTGCCTCATCACATGTGCCCTGTTGAAAGTATATTAAAGTTCTAGCCAAAAGTCCACAGCTCACGGTTTATGTGACACATAGTTTAGCACATTATCCGTTTATTATATCAGATCCAAATATTTTTCCTATTTTTGCAACAGGAATTTAGGTCTAAAACAACGGCTAGATAGGCATCATAATCGTCAAGAGTTAACTTTCCTTTGTTTCTTTTGGGTGAGAACAAACTTATCAGAAATCTTGACCTTGTAACCAAGTCACGTGATGAGTGGGAGAGATAAGAGTGCACGGAGGATACCATGGATTCTCTCCGGGTCTAAACTTCTAACTGCTCTTGCACTGTCATGACACTATCAGCCAGCCCTAAAAGATTTACATGCAACTACAAAGACAGCAAATCTACTATGCTCACTGTATAAGAGGTACTGGAGTTCTTAGCCGTTAGATCTTGGCAGCAAACAGCTGCTATAACTATTCTTCAACACCTCTTGACGAAAATGTGAAGTTTAGTCGATCAGTATTATATTTTTGTAGTTCCACTAACAGTTTCTTATAATTTATTCAATCATATGTCCATCAACGAGTGACCGGCCCAAAAGCCTCCGACTCCCTTCCGGTTTTGAGCAAGTGGCATTGGGTAGGAAACAGGAAATCTCAAGTGCATAATAGAAATACTACAAGATCCATGAGCTTTTAGAAAGACAAAGATTGAAAGCTTTTGAGTGGTTTTTTAAATGAGCTTAACACATTGCCAGCTATGAGTAGGTAAGATCCAACACTTCCTAGTCACTAATACGTAATTAACACTATGATTAACAAACAGATTAAGCATATGCGCAGGTCACTGTTGCTACTTGCATCACGTAAAATATATAGTTTAGCACATGATCCCCCTGTTATCATATCCATATTGTTTGAAGCTGGTACTTAGGTATAAATCAAAGGACTACGCATCATTGACTTCATACTAATTGTCATTCCTCGATCCACATCCACGAAAGGCGACGGAGAGGAAATGAAGGCCTGGTGTAGAGCTCTGATTGCTCCGGCTCTGGCTTTCGCTGTGATACTAGCAGCCCGGTCTAATGGAGCAACTGCGGATGCTCATTCCCTGAGTTCCGTTGCATCAGTCACGGCTTCATCATCACAAGCTCTCAGAGATTTGCAGACAACCATAAAGACACTATAAAGCAGGCTGGCTCGTCCTTACTATGGGATCAGTACCGGAAACCGCCAATTCACGGCGATCCATAAGATGGCCAAGAGGAGGAAACGCAGAACCTAAATAAACAGAACCCAACACGGTCTAGTTTCCATTGGGAAGCAGGATACGTAGCTTTCGTTAGAGCTATATCCCGCTTCGCATGCTGCAACTGCAGGTGGTACAATTCGTAATGCAATTACAACTTTGACATCTAAGGTTCTTAACTCTGGCTATTGGAAATGAAAGGGAACTTTAACGAAAAGCTTCCGATACCGTTCACTTTAACGAAAAACCATATTTTTACACTAAAAAGTCAATCCTAATACTATTTACTTTACCTTTTATTTTGTCCTTATCGTTAAAACTCAAGATTTTCAAGTCTCTTTCATTAGTTTTCCTATAAAATTACTCATAGTTTTCTCGGATGTATATGCAGAACAATGCCATTCTGTTACATCCTCTGCAGCGCTGAACAAAAGTTACAAAACACAAAGAGAAGCAGATGATGCACCATATCATGCTTTAGACTTCTTAGAGGATTTTGACTCAACATCCTCTCTGTGCCGTTTCTTCTCTTTCTTGGAAGTGGATTTGGATGCTCCCTCATCTGTGACTATTTTCTTCGACTTGTTTTTCTTTCCTTTAGAAACATTCTCGGCTGCTGAAAACTTTACAAATTTCTTGCTGTTCCGTTCTGTTTTCTTTGGTTTGTGTTTGATGCCTGATGTACTCAGAAATGGTGCAGGAGATTCCTGCAGATGTGCAATCTCTTCACTCATTTGCTTTACTTTATTCGGTCGCGATGTGTTCTTAAAATCGTCTGAAAGAAAGCTGCCGCTCTTTGATGGCTTGGTCTCACTAGAGCCAAATGTAGAAATAAATTCATTGACAGTTGATTGTTTCGATTCTTGCCTGGACCTCCACTGATCAGGTCTAGCAGCAAATCTGTCAATTACAAAAGGGTTAACTACATATACAGCAAAAATTCAACTCCCAACAAATAATGCTACAACATTGTATGCCAAACGACAAACAATTAGCATTTCCAATTATGTGTGTGGGGAACTGTGGGGCAGAAGCTACCCAGCATGTGGTAATTACTTGAATTATTTCAGATACAAGTGCAAGCTTTCCTTAACAGAGAGAAAGGATTTGACACACATCTTGACTAACATCGAAGCACATTCAAAACTTGATATTCTGAAATAGAACATGGCAAATAGCTTACCCATCAACATCTAGTTTCCGCATGAGATGAGGGCCATGCTTCTTGTTCCAAAGCTCATTTTGCACAGCTACCAACTCAGTTACTATGGCCTCTCTCAGTGCGATGTTACCCGCAGTAAAACACTTTTCAACAGTAAAAGAGCCTGATGATTGCAATGAAAGCTCTCCAAAATGTCCACGAAGCCTTCAAAGTATGCAACAGAAGATCAAATTGAATCAAGCTTAATTGCTTGGAACCATAAGACAAATATAGGGGCATCATGATACATACATACATACACAAACTATGTAAGCAAGCAATCTATAAATTAAGTTATAGGGCATACTTCATGATTAACCGGCGCTTCAGTTTTGCAGAAGCATCAGAACTTAGAAAAGCTTCAATTACATGAGCACCTTTGGAATCTTTAGCAATTTCAAGTATGTTATCAGCATTGAGGCACGTAATGCTTGTAATAAAAGGATGTATGAATTCCTGCATGGTGAAATGCATTAGACAATAGATCAGTGTAAAGAAATACAAGATTTCAATACAAGAACAGTGGCATCTATCATAATTGCACAATTTTATTTCTTGAATGTCCTAATTAGAATATATGAGTATATGTATACGAGGACCAAGGTCCATAGATATTCATTTATGGAGACTGAATTTTACAGACAAAAGGCAGCGATGATTTTCTTTGAAACAATAATGGAGAGAGTCAAAGTGCAACAATGGAAATGCTGTAACTCTTTATTTCAACGATCTTAAAATGGGCATCACAATATGCTAAAAGTATACCGGTCAACTTATGGCTACTAACTATATATGGAAGCACCCAATACTATAGTTGGGAGCTCTGATTTGAGTAAAACTATGAGAAAGGTTACATACATTTTGAAATTGAAAAACTCTTTGGAGAATCAAAGAACCCATGACATGCATTCTACCACCGGCTGGCCAATTCCAGTTGGACTTATCTTCACAGTAGAAGTAGCTGTCAATAAACAGTAATCGGGGAACAATGCATGTAGAGTCTTCATTGCTTGAATGTACCGCAGTAGCAAGGGCCTCACAACACTGTCAAACGAGTAATGGAAACATAGGTATATGATTAGAATGAATATCTGGACTCACAACCAGAACAAAAGTCTTGTATACAAATAAATACCATACACTATCCATCTACTTTATTCATCAGTAACATTGTAATTGAACTGATTGGCCGGAGAAAACACTATATAATTTGGCAAAGGGGTGTGCTATCCACACCCCTTTTTACTTCTCACACACCCCTAGTTAATTTTTGTACTTTGATCTTCTTCAATTCATCTGATCCAATGGCCGAAAATTAAAAGGGTGTGTGGATAGCACACCCCTTTGGCAAAATATTTCGAATTCCAAATACATAAAACACTAAGGTGGAAATAAAGAAATCATGTAAAATAGGAATGACACAAATTCGTTATCAACCTTATGCTCATAAGTATGCAGCCTTTGACTTGCAGCAATCAGCGAAGAAATAACTCCTGATTTTCCCGTTTTGAGCAGATCCTTAAATTTAGAACCAAGTTCCTCCCAAATCAACTCCATCTAATGGGCAAATTGACAATAAGGTGTTATGACAGAATGAAGAGTTTTACAAGAAGATATTAGACATGTACTTTTGAGAAACAAATATGCCAAAGTAGCTAAAACAGTAAACAAATTGTGGGAAAAGTAAATGGAAGCGACTAATTTAAAGTAGAACACTTAATAAACAAAAAACCCACAACAGAAATGCTAATACTAGAATAACAGGAGAGGGGAGAAGCGTGATAAGGAGTAAACAACTCAAAAAGCAGCATTGCCACAAAACATACTTGATCTTTATGCCGTGCTTGAGAAATCAAGGCTTGAATAACAAAGTTCCCACAATGATGAGATGAAAGCTCAAATAATGAGTTTCCAAAAACTTTTGTGAACATTTCATTGTACAAGACTTCGGGAGCCACTCCCAAAACAACCTGCATTATTCACAAAATATAATTAAACAAACCAAAGCTACAATCAAGGAGAAAAACATAGCAGAAGATAAATAGATTCGAATGTGAAAGCTACTGTGAAAATATTATTTTAATCCAAGAGTGCCTACAGGGAGTTGAAATGTAACTGTTGGACTACCGTCTCAAAGAAGTTATCATTATAGAAAAGGGTACAAGATAGTACAACCATAAAAACTTGGTCACAGTAGACGATTAATAGATGAACATCACAACTTATCCTTCTGTAATGTTTTTGTGCAGGCATAAGTGTTATTAGTGCAAACATTATGAATAGACCGTTTACCTCAATTAAATGGCTATATGCTGTTTCTTTCATGAGATGTAAAATGCCTCTCACTTTAGTCGTTTGGATGGATTTTCCTTCTAAAATATCTTCCCTAGTACATCCAATAAGAATGGGGATCAATTGCAAAAGCTTTTCTTCATCTCCTGCTAACAACTGCAAAGCTGTCTGCCAAGAAAAAAATAAAAGTTATAGCACAATTCAAGATTGATTCAAACCTTGAACATTATAAAGCGATTAAAGGACAGAGTGTCAAGGATTGTATTATAAAAAAAAAATTCATGCGTAAAATCCTGGGCACACAAAGGGTCAAACATTAGATCATACAAAAGTAATATAAGACACAAATTTCATCCACGAAATAATTACCTCTCATCTGAAAAGAAAATCATGGCCACAAATGCTTAAGTAAAATAAAAAGTGCCCCTTCTCTTTTTATCATGAAATAGGCTTCCATGTCTTAAGACTCATCGGAAGCTAAACAAGTACCACAAATAGAGATTTGGACGCCAATTAAGAAAGATTTTGTAGGGAAACCCGAGTTCAACTAGAGTAGCAAACCTGGAAAGCTCAACTTCAACTAACATCGAACCTCAAGGAGTCAGATGCGTCTCTATTGGGAGAAAGGAAGCGTAATCACGGTGCTCTCCAGAAGCCACAAAAAAGGTGTGAGGAGAAACGCCTTAGAGGGAGTGACAGAATGACCCAATGTGTATTAATTCTCTAGCCTCAAACAAAGTGATAAAAAAGGGGAGGCCTTCGCATTCCTAATCCGGTTGACTTATGTAATTGTCAACAGTATACAATTAAAATGCTGCTAATATCTTGTTGTTAACACTATAATACCTCTAAGTTTAATTTGTTTTACTTTCACTTTTAAATATTTGGTAATTAAATAACTTAACAGTTATCAATTGACAACTAAAAAGAAAAACTGACTAAAAAATAGTAAGACAGTATATTAGAACATGCCTGCAGAACCAAACTGCTGTACTGATCAACTTGCAGGGTCTGAATGTTGTTTTTGATACACTTGAACATCCCTGAAACAAGAAAGTCAAATAAACGTGGGAATCCCTGTACAGAATGTGGTGTAATATCTGTGTCTGCTCGAGATGCCTTGAAGTTCAATTGCTCTGCAACTGAAGAAGACTTTGTCCCATGAAACTCAGAAGAATCTAATGGTACTCCTTTAAGAAGAGAAAGAAAACTTCGGAGAACATGAGATCCATAGCGATCGTACATCAGATCACCAGGATTCTTTGCAATCACCTGAAAATATACAAGATATATAAAGGGTATTAGGAAGAAAATTAAGAAAAAATAAATAAACATCACAATTTACATATGCCCCGAATATGTAAATTCATTTCAACTGTTTTAAAGTTTTTATGGTTTTAAAATGGTACAGATATAATAGGCAACAAACTACAACATGCTGAACGTTTTGACCTAAAACAACTTGATACCTTGCATATTGCATTTACAGTGTCTTCAATAGCAGAATACGCCTCATCGTCCTCAAGATGCCTAGATAAAGACTTGATGGCAGACTCAGCTACATGAGAACCAGATTGATCCATTGCAATAGAAGGGAAGTCCTTCGCACAGTTTCGAAGGAAACCACAAAGGCTGTCGACATCACAGCCGTCAAGGAGTGTCTGCATAGTATGGCTTATGATATAATGGGTTGCCAGTTCCATTTCTCTCCCCTTAGCTTCCTCAAGGGCATTACCACATACAACTGATCGCTCCTCCATATCATCCCCATTACTCGCGAAAAGGTTATCAATTTCCTTAAAGTAATTCATGGTTTCAGGATCAACCTGTTTCCTACACAACAAGTACTCAAAATCATTAAAATGCCAAACAACTCACAGATTAACCATCATTCTCAAAACCCTCATAAGAGAAACTCGTCATGCATTACCTAACCAATGGTTTTTGTGTCTCCGAATCGCCTTGATGTTTCGAACCCCGCCAGGATCCCTTTCTCCCAACATTGGCATCAAAGGAGGAACTTTGTTTATCATGCCTTCTGCCCATATCCATTTTCTTTCTACTCCGTTTGTGTGACTTATCCTCTCCACCCATTCTGCCTCCAATTCGTCTCAACGGCAATGCTTTTGAGTTTCGACCCAAAAGAAACCACAATTAAACCCCCACGGACCAACCCCACCAGACACACAAATTTCAACAGCCTCCTACTACAAAACAATTCAAATTAACAAATTAAAAACCCCCACCATGCTCAAAATCCAAATTAAAAATGTCAAAACAATAACAAAATTAGCTAACTTTCTTCTACTAAGATGGTAGATAAAATTAAAATCTAGAAATTACGAAAAGAACACAGAGCTATTGAGTTCAAAAACCCAGAACACAAATTTTAAAATTAAAATTTATCTATGGAAAAAGGGATTAATGAAATTTACTTGCTTTTGTGGAGTTGCAGCGAGACTGCTCTGCTACTGCTTGCTCTGTACACAGAACCTAACTGGAATTCGCACCAAAACAACTATAACGCGTTTGCTCTAACGGCGGGGTTTCGGCCGTTTTAGCCTTTAGGGTTTAATAAGGGTTTAAACCAAGTTTCTTGACCCGACCCGACGATTTTTCAAAGACTGCTTACGAAATTGCGACATGTCGTTCATGGAAGGGTTTGGTCATAAACAGTCAATTATTCTCACGGGCTGGACATCACAAAGATTATTGGGCCTAATGGCCCACTACAAAAGTAAGTTTTGAGCTTTTGGTTGCAGTTTTTTTTTGTTTTACTATCCTAAACTAGACTTAAGGAAATGAAAAAGGGTCTGAATTCAAATGCAGTAACTTGTAAATAAATTCCTATCCATCAGGACAATTCATCAATTGTACGCAATTTTGATTGTCATTTATTATCGCATACAATATCATAAATAAGAGAGTCTCTTTTTTGATTGAAAATAACAAGGACGATTTTCTTTTATACAGAAAAAAGAAGAAGATGATTTTCTTAATTTATTGAAGAGAAATGTTAATGAGACTGTCTCAAAAATGAAACTTTCCATGGACTTTTCATCAATCCATGTTTTTGGCATAACTCTCGTGCCAACATTATAAAACATTATGCCAAAATCATGGGTTGGCAGAGAGTCCATATAGTATCTCATTTTGGGAGTCTTCTTAGTATTTCTCTTTATTAATTGGGTAATGTTAGAGAGATCAGATTACTAAGCCAAACTTTGTAAATCAAATGATGTGGATGTTTAACTATGATTGGATATTACTTAGGTGTTGATTAACGTACTTACTTTCTTTTCGTGACACATAATTTAGTTTAAAATTTTAGTCTACCTAGCATTATTGTAATTAAATTGACTAACTAAGATACTATTGAAATTATTTATAAACACAACAGCACATATATAATATATATGTAGAGAATAAAAATATGTGAACTTTTTTGTATTCCAACTTAGTATTCAAGAACATGTCTCCTAATGCCACTTAGTACTACGGTCTAGTGGTATTTTTCTTCACTTGTAAGTAAAAGGTCTTAGATTCGATTATCGTTAAAGATAAATTTGAGCTACATTATTGCTAGCCTACTGTGAGGCTTAGCTAGGCTTGTCAAATAGGTCATATTTGTCGTGTTCGTGTTGTTTTCGTATAACACTTGTTATCTTAACGAGTCGGGTCGTGTCACACTCGTTATCTTAACGGGTTCTTAAATGACCTGACCTGTTATGACCCCGTTAAGAAAAATATTTTTTTTCTAAATTTGCACATACTACATTGCCACATAAATATTACTTTGTAAACTAATTCAAAACAAAATCAATCTTAAATCGAAAACTAATTCGAAGCAAAACCCTATATTTTGAAAGTAATTCGACATAATCAACTATTACCTCGATTAAGGCTCGAGATTCATTCGATCCAGAGACAGAATTAGAGATCAAAGTAGTAGATCGATTGGTGGTAGGTTACTAGGTCGTATGTGGTAACAGTACTATGATGGAGGGAGACTGGAAAGGCTAGTCGTGTATTCGTGGATGACTAGAGTTGAGGTTCGAGACTGAGATTTGAAAGTTTAGATCGAGAGAAAGAGCGGCTGACAGAGAGAGTCTAATTTAAGGTTGAGAAAAACAATGGATGATCGAGATTAAATCTTAACCGATCTAATGATCATCAATTTTCTAATTTTAATTAAAAAAATATGTATATATATTTATTTATTTTAACTTTCAGCTCAATTCTGGATTAAATCATACTACTGTTAATTATAGTTTTTTTTAGTCATATAAAATCATTAAATTAATATTTTTCTAATCGTGTAACGGGTTACCCATATGTATACCTAGACCGACCTGTTATCTTAACAAGTGTTTATCGAGTTACCCAATAACGACCCAATTCATTATCGTGTCGACCTGAAATTTGTTAATTTTGTATCGTTTCGTGTCGGGTTAACGGATCTTGTTAGAAATTGTCAGGTCTAAGCTTAGCCCACTCCCTAATTCCTTAGTGTAGAGAATATTATTTGTTAAAAAAAAAAAAAAAAAAAGGAAACATGTGTCCTAATAAGTAATAATATTTTATTGTTACTTTATATTCTAATCCATCGTTTTTTTAGAGTTTTAATGAAAAGGGTTTAGACCAAGATTATTTTAATTAAAAACCATCTTATAGTTTTCTTTAAGCAAAAGCACCTCAAAATTAACCATAAAGCTAAAGGCTTCCAATTCTACATGGGCTGAATTACAGAGCCCAACAGAAACAAAAATAAGTTTCCAAAATTACCCCAACAAGGAGGCACAGGTCTGAAACTTGTTAGTTCTCATGAAGGAGAAAACTCACGTCAGCTTCAAGCAGAGCGTCGATCAACGTTTCATTTTCTGGGTTTTTCTTCCTTCATTCTCGGTGCATATATCAGTTCTTGAATTTCCTTGTCCAAGTTAGATTCAGATTTGGAGAATAACCAAACTTTGAGAAGAAAAAAAATCCCAAATTATTGAATCCAATCTCCAAATGTACAATTAAAAAGAAATGAACAGGAAAAGAGCTGTGCAATTGAATCAAGGAGGAAGACACTCAAACTGAATCCATTTTCCATGGAATAGGAAAAAACCAAAAATTCCAATTTCTTGCATCCATTTGTCCATAAAACTAGAAAGAAAAATGTATCTCTACTTGTGATAGAACCACCTTCCCCATTTACAAATTCTGGAAAAGAAAAAGAAAATAGAAAAAGTAGACGAGAAAGAGAGAGAAAAGTGACTTCAACCATGTCGTTCAACTTTCATAACATTGTTAATGTTAAACACTTCTAGGAAATAGTATGATTTTTTTGCCACTTTTTTATAAAACAATGCGACTCGTTATGTTTTGAATCTGTAACTGTTTCTGGAAAAACTAACATTGTCTTTGCAAAAATTAACACTGTCTCTGGAAAAACCTAACACTATCTCTAGAAAAATTAACACTGTCTCTGAAAAAACTAACACTGTCTCTGGAAAAACTAAGATTGTCTTTGGAAAAACACTGTCTCTGGAAAAATTAACACTGTCTTTGGAAAAACTAACATTGTCTCTAGAAACAGTGGCTTAGATTCCATAAACAATGTTACTTAAAATCCATAAACAGTTTATTTTTATAGTCCAAAAATAGTGACCCGTCATTATTATTGAATAGCATACAGATCTCAAATTTATTTTCTGGAGAAACAAACGATGAACTCTACTGATGAAGAAAAATTGAAAAACATTACCTCAAATTCACTATGAATAATAACGACGATCACATTTCAACAAAATAATACAAAATGTAAATTAAATAGCATGAGGATCTATATTTTTGTTTCAAAGAAAAAGAAGAAGGACTGCAAAACAACGATAAACTCCATTAACGATGAAAATTTGGAACTCAACCTAAAAAAGTTAGGGGTAAAATCGACAAATTATAATTTATTATAGTTGGACCATTTTTAGTTGGACTGTTTTAATATGGGCCTTGTACTAATCATTAAACAAAACTTATAACATGATTTTTTATTAAAACTAAAACTTTTCAAGCCATTTTCATTAGTTTTTTTTTTTTTTTAGCAAATCAGAATTTATATTCTAATTAGATTATTTTTATTTTCAGATCCTCCTATAGTAATTTGAAATTTGAATACTCTTCATTTTGGACCGGTGTTGACTGTTGAGTATTCTTGGATTGTGATTGCTTTCTAAAGGTAGTTTTCTCGTCGCACTAATTCATACATTGTTCACGAAGGATTTGGATCCCATCTGGATTCAAATTATGAGAATCTTAAGGATCCTTATATCTTAACTATTCATCATGCATTATGCAATCAGAAATCATTTGATTTTTTTTATATTTAAAATTGAATACAAATAGGATATGACGAAAATTGATCATATGATGTACGATGAACCGTTAGAATGTAGAAATCCCTAAAATCTCCATAAAGTGAATTCTGAAAATATCCTCTTCCGTTCACGAAAACATACTTGAATATAGTGAAAATCTGTGAATTTTTTTTTTCAACCGATAGAGTTTTTTATTGAATTCGAAATAAAATGTTTCTCTCTTCCACAAGAACAATGGATAAATACTCGAGAAATAACAAACCCTATCTATGACTACCTCCTTACAACACAAATCATTGAGTGCTTATCACACATTAAATCGTACAGCGCATGTGTTCTCAATGCATATAAATTCTTTTATTTCATGCTTCGTATAATCTCGGTTACTTTCATGCATTTACGGATTGATTCAGGATGTAAAGGTGACGTTCAGACAAATTGCCCTAAATTGACTCCTTGATTTAAAAAAGTTACTATTTACTCCTTTTGCTGCTTTACAGAGGTGTAGACTTTTCAAGCAGCACCCACAAGAATTTAATTTGAATTGATTGGCATCGGTTATTACATGGATCTAAATTAAAATATCACAGCTGGAAATTGTCTTGTCACTCCTTATCATTTTGGACCTAGATTGTCTGTCATTTCCATCACATATTCTTTTCTTTTTCTTCTATATTATGTGATCACGGTTAAGTCATATTAATATTTTATATTAATTTTTTTTATAGAAATAATAAGATAAAAAACAATGGTAATATAAAATATTAACGTGACTTAACCGTGACCACATAAATATAAAGGAATGGGAATGGTATGAGATGGAGAGAGCAGACAATTCAGGTCCTATCATTTTACTTGTAAAGCCGATGCATATCTAACTTAGTTAAACTAGAGTAGAATCTCCCTTCAATCCTCTCATCTCACACTTTTTTTTATCTTATTCTGTATATAAAAAATTCAAAATAAGATGTAAATATAGTGTAATCACAATCATTTAAATACGAGAAGATGAAAGAGGAGAGAGATTAAAAATAGAGAAATGCTACTCCAGTTAAACTCTTTCATACTCTGGTAGGGTTTTGGACCCCCTTCCTTTATTATCTTCTTTCCACAATTATGGCTAGTTGTCTTTAGGGTACTGCCATCCCAGCCCTTTTTGTCGGGCAATTGGGCAATTTTGCATAACATCCAGAATAAACAGCTCCATCCCATTTTAAAAAGCC